AGTATTTAAAAATACGGTATAGCTTTTTTTAAAAAGGGTATAAATAATAATTTTAAAATATAAATAGGCATTAAACTCGTAAATTTAACCGTTTATAAAATATAAAATTCGTAATTTAATACGAATATAAAAAAAAAATAGGGGTATTATATTAAAAATCTAAATAGTTTATAACTTAATTAATTAATAATTTTTTTTATTAAATATTTTATTTTTAAGGGGTAATACGTCCTTTTTTTAATCTTTTATTTACGGATCTTAATTATCCTAAGGAAGGCCTAAAGTGCTAAGTATTTAAATATTTATATTAAGCAAGGTAAAAGATATAATATTAATAAAAGCTAATACTTTATCTTCCTCTAAAGACTCTAAGGGTATAACTTCTAATAACATAATTACTAATACTATTAATTAATATAAGATAATAATAGTTAAGCTATAAATAACGATATCATCTAATGAAATTTTATATTTAATCTTATCCGTAGGTTTCTATCGTTTAAAAACAATAAATATATCTTTATAATTAATTTTAATTAGCGAAATACGATCCGCGGTTAATAATCGCCTTAATTATTTAATAATATAGTATTATTAATATTAAAAAAATAATTAGAAGGGTAATCTCGATTAAAATCGGACTAAAAAAGGGAGCGATCGTAAATATAATAGGCTTTAACCTCTTAATTACGGTAGTTATTACTATAATAATTATTACCACGATAATTATTACCGCGATAATTATTACTATAATAATTATTACCGCAATAGTTATTATTAAATTTATTAAAGGACTTATAATAATAATCAAGCTTAGGAATATTATTATTTTTAAATTATAAAACAGCTTTAATATCGCATAAAGGATTTTTATCGTTTTATTTATTATTATTATAAAAGTCCTTAGCGTTATAATAATTATTTTAATATAATTAATCGTTACGACGGTCGTTATAATAAGGATAATTATTATAACGTTTATTATATTATAAGTAGTCGTTATGACGATTATTTAAGCGGCGATTATTATTTTAATAGGAATATTAATTATTACGGTTAAAATTATTCTAGTTATAATTATTTTAATTATAATTATTATAGTAAGAGTTATTACGACGGTTATTTAAATAACGATTATCTTTTTAATAATTATTACGACGTTGGTAAAGGGTATTTAAAACTTTAATACGTTTTAATAAAGCTTAGTAAGTATTATTAAAGGTTTTTTAATTAACTTTAATAATATATTCTTTAATAAAAATTTAAGTTTTAAAGTTTTAAAAAATATTATAAAAAGTTAAGGAAATAAAAGTAGCGAGGTTAAGGTCTAGGCTTATAATAATACGTCGGTATTATACGTCCTCGTTTATCTTATTAACTTCGTTATAAAGTTAGATCTTTTTATTTAAATATATTTAAAAAGGTATATTAATTTTAATAAAAAAAAGGTACTTAAATTAATCCGTTTTAACAAATATAGTATTATAATCCTTTTAAAAACGTTTTTTAAAAAAAGTTTTCTAAAGATTTAAATCGGTAATTATAATAAAGCGTTAATATTAAAAGAAAGTATTAAATTATTTATTACCGTTAATTTCCTTAAATAAAATACCGTAGCTTATTATACGAACGATAGTATTAACTCCGTATAATATAACTAAGAAATCGATTTTATAAATATATAAAAAGATAAAAGTAATTATATTATTATAAATAAATAATTCCGGTTTAAATTTCTTAAAATAAAAAAAAGATTTATTATTAAAATCAAATCTTTTTTTAAAAAGGCTATTATAATATCGACGTAAAAAGCGGTTACGTTAACGGTCTTTTTAATTATTTTAATAGCTACGATAATCGGAATAAGTAGCGGCTAAGTTAAATTATTTTAAATAAATAAATATAAGCTAGATATAAAAATAGAATTAAAGAGCGAAAGGAATATAAGCTTTTTATTAAATATAAAAAAGAAATCCGTATATAAATTAAAATATAGCTTAAAAGAAAGGATATTATTAAATTTAAAGCTAAGTTTAAAATTAAATTTAAATAATAAATTCTTTATTTACTATTTATTCCTTATTATAGTAATATCGTTTAAGTAATAAATTATATTCGTAAAAGAAAGCTTTAACTTAAGATTAAAACCTAAATTAAGAGCCGGAATTAACGTTATCGTTATCGTCGTCGGTAAAGCTAGCGAAGACGCGTTTATTAACTTCTAATAAGCGTTAAGGCCTTAGCTATAAAATAACATAAAAACCGTTATCTATATCTTTATTTATAATAACTAAAAGATCTTAACGATTATAAAAAAGAAATCTATAAATAATATATAAAACGTAATCTATAATAAATAAGTCGATAATATCCTTTTAATAAAAATACTAACTATTATACTATTTATTATTAAAACGTATAAATAAGGCATAATCTAAGAGGTATTATTAACGAGAAATAGGAATATCTATTCTATTATTTAGGTTAGTATCTTTAAAAGCTAAGCTTTTAAATATTATTAATTTAATAAGTATACGAGGACTAAAGCATAAGCCTAAAAGTCCGGGTCTAGAGTCGTTTATCTTAAGCTAAGTAAATATAGAACGTAACTTAAAATAAAGGATAATAAAGAGTTTAATAATTAAAATTAAATCGATTAATAATAAAAAGGATACGGAAAAAATTAAATTAATTAATAGTAAAAGAGAGATAGCAGGAACGGATTTAATTAATAATAAAAAGGAAAAAAGCTTATTAATTAATAGAGCTTAAGGAAATGAACGGGGTTTAAGGGTTAAATCCGGTAAAAGGATAGATAATTTATTAAGTAGTTTTTTAAATAGTTTATCCGATAGTTTATCGAAAACGGATTATTAATATCTAGGTATAACTAAAATAGGCTGCTCGAAAGGGGTAAAATTAAAAATTTAAAAAATTTAAAAAAATAAAACGGGCTTAAGTTTTAATAACGGGGCTTCGAAAGATAATAAATCCTTAGCTATTAAAATTAATAGAGAAAACGAGTTCTTTAATATAAATATATTTTTTAATATTATCGTAAAAATAAAAGGCTAAAAAGAAGTTAAAAAAAGGGAATAGGGAGGCGAAAAAGGCTTTTATATTAATAGTTTTATTAAAAATAAATCCTAAACGTAAATCCGATATACCTTAATAAGTTAAGTTAAAAAAGGTTAAGAAGGTTAAAAAGGTTAATTAATAATATTTAAAAGTTTAAAAAGGTATCGTTAAATTAAAAAAGTAGTTTTTAAAACCGGGTTCGATAGCGTAATAATTAAATTCGTTATTTAAAAAGGAATGTTTAAAAGCTATATTAAAAACTATATTAAAGCCTAAACGAGATCGTTGATTAATTAAAAAATAAAAGCTTTTATAAAAAAAGGTCTAAATCGTTTAAAAAAAAAAATTATTATTTTTAAGCGCTAAGCTCCGGGGATCTAAGGATTTTAAACCGCCTTCTTTATTAAGTTTTATAACGTTATTCTTTAAAGCTAAAATAAAAGCGCATTTAAGCCGTAATTTTATGTTTTAGAAAAGAGTTTAAGAGAAGGAGGGCGTAAAAGTAGTTTTTATTAAAAGTTTAAAAAAAAAAAAATACTAGTAATAGTTTTAACATTTTAAAAATAATAAGCGCTATTATTTTAATATTATTTATAACGGCGGCAGTTTTAATACTAATAAAATAATTATTAATATTTTAAAACTATAACTTTTATTTAGTACTTATTATAATAATTATAATTATAATTATAATTATAATTAAAAGGAGAGAAAATAAGTCGCTTAATTTAAAATATTTATAATTACTAAGCATATCGTATAATAAAGAGCTGATTAACTTCGTTTAGTTAAAAAAATAGGTATAAAGGGTTTATTTAAAAGGAAATATTTTCTAATTAGGGCCTAGGACGTAACGAGTCCTATTCGGCGGGCTATTTTATAAAAATATTAATTAATAAAGCTATTATATAAATACCTTCGTTATTAAAAGTCGAGGTCGACTTTTTAATTAATTAAAACGTATTAATAATTTAAAAAAAATCGATCGATTTAATAAAGAAAAGAAGGTTATATTACTATATAAAGGAAGTAAGTTAACGATTTAGAAAAAATAAAATAAATATATTATTTAAAAATAAGCTAATTATCTAGTCTATTTAGTTTCTTTGTGGTGTGTGTAATAAAGAGAGAAGTCTAGCTAGCTACAGGCTGGAGGTGACGTTAAGGTGTAGCTGAGGTGGAACCTGCTGACTAATCACACATGACAGGCAAGGTATCACATCCTGGCTGAGCTGAGAGTGCTTGCTTTCCAGGGACAGCCGATTCGAGGCTTCCTCACAGGTGCTCCCTTACCCGACACATCATTGGGCCTAGATCTGATGGTGAATGATGCCGTCTCTTGCTGGTCGTTCCTCCTTGGAGTCGCAGACACCCCAGACCGTTCTAATCCACCGCCTCTTCCTCTATGCACCTCATGATGTCAGTGCAACCCCTTTGGACGGGAAAACGTACCCTTAAGCCTCTTTCATCAAAGCCTCCCGATATTTAATCATTAGGCTAAACAAGCCAAAACACCATCCCCATACCTCACCACACATCCAGCAAGAGAATCTCTCGTTGGTTCTAGCAGGAGAGGCCCTCTGCCTCAACGCAAATCATCTCACGCTCCTGGAGGAGGCCTTCACCTTCAAGTCCTATCGCGAACACGGTATGCTCTGCACCACTCTCCTGATGTGGAGCAATCTCATAGAGATTAATGCAGTGACTTAATACCCGCTGCGGATCTTTGCCAGTGTTGAGGTGACGGGGTCTTTGACCGGGCTCTTTGCGACTGGGGTGTACGGCGGCGTCAAGATGATTGCTTGTACTGTCTCCCTTGTGTTCGACACCGACTCGCTGGGTCTACGACCGAGTGTTTTTTTGTGTTGACATGGTCCAAGTAATTGAGATTGCGACGGTTCATGATTAACATATCAAGCAACATGCCAACATGTCATCTTCCAAAGGGGATCGCTCTCTTCTACGTTGGTTTCTACATCCGGTTTGACCTGCCCATCACTGGCGAGCCTGTTCATGGCCCTGGCTATATCGCTCTGCTGGCCATCTACATCTTTGCTACAACGCACCAGTTCGTCTGGGGTTCTGTTGTCTGGACTTGCAGCTGCGAGATTTCCCCCGCTCGTCTTCACGCCCTGATGATGGTTATGGGAACAGCAATTCAGTGGCTCTTCAACATTGGTTGTGGCTGAAACTATAACAAGCATGTTTGTTACGCTTGGCAAGAGCGTGTTTGGAGCCTACTTCGGGTACGGCAGCTTTTGCTTCGTCATGGTGGTAATTGCATGTTTCTTCGTCCCAGAGACCGCCGGTGAGATTCATGACGACTTTGGCGAACTCCATCATGTACGCTAACCTTTTCACAGGCCGAGCCTAGGAGAAGATGGAAGAGCTGTTCGAACAGAACTCTTTGAAAGACAGAGTCATCTGGAGAAAGAGGCCCCAGTTGAGCTCTAGAGGGGGCAGCAGTGAGAACAGGGCGGTGGATAAGAAGGATTCCGAGCATGTTCAAGTTGTTTAAGCCGATCATTTACAAGCTAATACAATTGCTTTCATCATCTTGTCGCCATATATCGTCAAAGCTTGTCATCTCATTCATAGACTGGCTTGAGCTCTTCCACCTTGAGGATTTCCTGAACACCCTCCAACCCCTCCACCATCTTTTGCAAGCGCTCAAAGTTGGGATACTTTTCGCCAAAGAGACTTCCGCCCATACCCGTCATGTACACCGCCGACCGTCGGAAATAATACAGATAAAAGTCGACGACCGTCAAGCCGTCACCCACAGCATACTCCCGTCCATCCAACTTGGATTCGACTCTGGCGTAACACTCCAAGATGTTCTCCCAACCCTTCTCCGCAACCGCTTTCCGCGCGTCGTCTCCGTCTGTAAACCTGTACGGCCTCGCACAGGCCGCGATACTTGTGCCCAGGAACGTCCCGCTCAGCCAGTTCGTCCACTCAATCACCCTTGCGCGGTCGAGGGCGCTGGAACCTAGGAGCTTCTCGGTCTGCTCGGGCGGCGCGATACAGGCGATGTAGGTGAGGACGGCCGGCAGCTCTGTGATGACTTGGCCGCTGTCGAGCACGAGCGCGGGGACGTAGCCTGTGGGATTGATTTTGCGGTAATCCTGGTGCGTGAAGCTGCCGTCTGCGGCCTCGAAGCGTTTCTCGGCGTTGGCTCTCATCGCGACGGTGTTGAAGGGGATGGAGAGGTGATGGAGGAGGGCGTGGGGCACGAGGGAGCATGACCCGGGCCTGTAGTACAACGTGATAGTCGGGGACGACATGATGACGGCTCAGTTGTCTGTTGAAGACTTGTGTGCGTGTAGTTGGGAGAGTGTGTTTGTTATAACTGGGCCGTGACGCTTACTCTTGATAGACGGTGAGTGCTTTGCTTCATGAGTGAGCACTAGTAGGGGAGGAATGACGCCCTTGGAACAACAGGCAGCGCGGGGTCGATGTAGATAGGACAATCTCAAGCTTACGTAGCTACGAACGCTGGTGAGGATTCTTGGCAGATCTCATGCTTGGACATGATTTGGCAATTCTCTACAGAGTGATACTTATCGTCAAGGGATACGTTCAAATCGGGCAGGACAGAAATAGGATACGACCGGACAGACGGCGACTTGGAGCTTTTCGTACTTGATTACAACTTGACACGATGTTTTCTTGGTCTTTGATATAGCCATGAATGATCAATTAATGAAACCAAGGTCCTATTCATCACCCTGTTCACGGATTGGGAACTGGAAAGCACGTTTTTGGTGGTGGAAATGGCTTCAACAGCGCGGCAAGAGTCCCGTGAGTGTGCGCAGGAGGGTTGCCGGGGCCGATGGGAACTTTGGCCGAGTGATTGGAATCGAAGCAGGGGGATTGGGTGGAAAACACCAACCCAAACACATGCTGTCGATAATCGAGACGAAGTGATGTGACATGGGCTTGTGTTCATAAAATACTAACTGGGTATCCTGAGGATCTCCCTCGACCTTGGGATGAGGTTAGCTCACCGAGGACCTCACCGGAAACCTGAGATTGCGAGACAAACAGTTCGACATGATACCGTGTGTACGCGATCAAGCCACAAAACCCAAAGTCCAGACGACACTCTAGATTGGGTGTAGTCATCTAGAAAAAGGCTCTAGGCCGCATGCAGGGTCAAGATAGGGTCAAGCTTGGGGTCAAGATTCGTCGTGATCGGGGAGTATTACAGGTCCTAACAGAAACCTCTTGCGACATCACCCTCGGCGCGCTCATCCGAAAGATCATATCCACGAACCAGTCAGACTGCATCCGAATCGAGCCGTTGGGACGGAAGATGCACGTAATCAGGCTCGAATCAAAAATGCCGCCGGGGGACGAATGAACGCCGCTGGCCTTTTCAGACTCTACGATGACAATGCGACGCACTCACTCGGGCGGGCGTGTGAAAAAAAGGGTAGTAGCCACTAGAGAGGCGGGATTAACGCCATGTGCCTGGTCTGATGGCGGGGGACTCTGCCGTCGCGGAAGGGCGCATTATCTGCGGTAACAATGGCATCGGGCGTCGAGATCAGACGGAGAACGAGGCCCTGCATCAAGTCTCGGGCAAAGTCGGTGGCTTTGGAGGCCAGAGAGCAGAATGTACAAGGGGAAAATGGCTCAGTTGATGGGCGGTGCCGTTCAGGCTGATGTGACGGGTTGCGTGGTGAAGCATCACTGGCTGGCATCGGACAACGTTGGACAGCGTAAGAAAGAATAGCCGATAGGACACAAACTCCGAGAGCCTACATGTACGAATACACGGTAGAAGATCTCTCGGCATAGCCTGGTGGAAGCTGGGTCTAGGCCCTGACGAGGACTGAAGGCGGGATGAAGATATGGGGGTGACGCGAGATAGCAGACCCATGGGGTTTGTGGATATGCTGGGCCGGGCAGAGAGGGTGAGAGCTTGGGGACCGGTCTGGCCGACGTCTGCGGGCCATCACGTTTTCGTAGGGGGAGCAAAGACTCGCTTGTCCATAAAAGACGAACTTTTTTTTGGGGGGGGGGGGGGGGGGGGTGGTGGGGTGGGTTGAAGGGGAGAGGAGAGAAGGTTCGAGAGCGGGGGGGGGGGCGGGGGGGGCGGTAGACGTGGGGCGTGGGGGGCGGCGGGGGGGGGGGTGGGTGGGGGGGGGGCGTGTGGGGGGGGGGGGGGGGGGGCGGGTTGCGGGGCTGGATGTCAAGCGACGAGAGACGAAGTTGCAGACGACGGGGAAGGGGGAGGGGCACTCGTCAGTTGCGTTCCAGAGTTCTGAAGCTCCGGTTTGTGTGCCATGGCAAAGTTCCCACTCGATACAGACCGTAAGAGCCGCTGGGGATCACAATTCTGATCCCGATGGCATGGGGATGGACGATGGAAGTGGTGGCCCCCTCCCGGCGTGTAGCACCCGGGATTGGTCTGCTCGCACTGTTGCTGTTCAGGGCAAGGAACGGAGCAAGGCCGGCGGGTGATAATGCGGGTGAAGAGAGAATGGGCCGAGGGTGCATGATGGCATCTCCAGGCGCTGCAGGCTGCAGAATGCATGCTGCAAAGGGGTGGTGCTGCCAAGGGGTGGTGATGGTCTCGAACGATGTTGGGCCAGCGGATGTTGGACTTTGCTTCGTCTCATGCATGGAATGAAGAGAGTTGGCCTGACCCAAAGCACGTTTCTTGTCAAGCCATCCAGTCATCACTCGCCCATGGGCTTGATGGGGATGATGCTTAAAAGGGCGGTGGAACCCAGCATGCTCGTTGGAGAGCCCCCCGTGTTGGAGAGAATTGGATCACCATTCTCTGTTCATGTGTGTGTGTGTGTGTGTGTGTCCATTCCCCTCCGTCTTGTAAGCGAGTTCAGTGGGCGAGTGAGTGAGTGCGTCTTGATATCACTTGATCTCTCGTCCGACGTGGCCTGACAGCGATAGACCAGCCCGTGTCGTCTGCCTTTGCCCTCGAAGCGCATCACTCCGTCCAGTGCAAGTCGAGTCGCATTGCAGCAGCCAACGGACAGGACAGCCTGTCGTTTCGTCGCGCAAGGCGTCCTAGTTTGCATTCCCGCTGCTGCTCACCGTCTTTTCAGAAACCAAAGCAGAGCAGAGCAGGCGGTTAGAGTTATCGACGACAGAGAGCCCCGAGGCCGGAACGCGCACGGGAAACGTTACGGGATCGAGACTCGGCAAACACTGAAGCAGAGAGCATCACTCGATACCTAACTCTTTATTCGTACTGCAGCCACTTTGTACGGGGATTCACCTCCAAAGTCAACTCGGTGGAAGATAGGGGGCAGAAGAGTACCTCTAATTACGTCAGGTGGGTCATAACTTTACTCAGTTCATCAGAGTCATTTGCGCAGTGTTTGACCCAGAGTTACGGCGGCTCTTTCATCGTTTTCTCGCCGTGTCTATTGGGCCCGGGATGACCGCGGCGACAACTCAACATGGCTCTCCCAGCAGGATGGGCACCATCAGACGGTGGCGGGGATGGCCTCAGCAGAGAAGAGATAGTGTCTGGCCAGTCCAGCTCCAGTCGGGCTCAGCTCACGCCATAAGCTGCTGGAGTTGCTTGTTGCCCGGCGCTCTTGTCGGCTCACATTGCGTTGTCTGGATGCTGCTAGTGCAAAGCCCAATCAACCGTTGAGGGCCGACAAGTTTGTGGACTACGGATGGGGGATGGGACCATGTACCGGTCCCCCGCTGTGGTGTTGTTTTATTGTATCTTTTTATTTCTCTCTCTCTCGAGTCTTGCTGGTCCCCTGATCGCCTTACGTACACTGCTGGTCCGATTCCCAGCCTCCAGGGGCCGAGAGTCCCCTGGGTTTGCTGAAGATTTGTTGGAGGGGTCAAATGCTTGGGGTTTTCAGAGATGCAATTTGGAGTTGCTGCGGATTGCATCACAAAGACATCATAGGGCACACAGACATCAGCAAGCGGCACAGCAAAGAGTACCTACAGAGCATGGAGCAGATACAGGCAGCGGCGTGGTGCAGGGCGCATCCCATCAACCCCCCCCATCAACTCAGCCCCAAGGACCAAGGCCAAGGACCAGCCAGCAGCACCGGTGCTCTCCCTCCGGCGGCCAGGAACAGTCCCGTCGAGCTTCCAGAGACCCAGAGGGAAGACGGGGACGACCTCTATTGGATCTTTTGCTTCTGGCGGGCCCCCATTTGGCCCATTTGAACCATTTGGACCAATCCCGCCAGAAACAATTCGTCCCGTCCGAACCAGGGGGATGGTGGAACAAGGTCCAGGTATCGGGCGAGTCCCGAAGAGAGATTCTTGGTGTATTCCGCCGCGTTGATCGGGTGTGGAGAGACTTATGACGCAGCTATTTCCACTGGGCTTGTTACATGTCCAAGACCTTGGTCGAGCTGCATCGTCTCCATGCCCAATCCCGGAATGATTCTCACCCCCATCTTCCCCCCTCCTCCCCCCCACCTCCATCTCTACTGGGACCTGGACTCCTGGTCAAGCTCTGGCGCTTTCCAGCTTGTTCCCTCTGGCCTCCGCTTTGAGCCACTGTCCGAGTACCAGTAATTACCAGTCCCCATCTCCCAGGATCAATGTGGCACCAAAATAGACGGTGGACGCTACGACGGCGGCAGAGGCCGCAGTGACATGTGCTGCCCCTCGCTGTCAGTGTCTCTGTCTGGAACCATTCCTGGAACCATTCGACGCCCTCGTTGAGCACCGTCGATTTGGGGTATCTAGGCGTCGTTCAGCTCCGAGACACGGACAGTCAACTAGGCGACTACCTGGCACTATATGGTCGATCTGGTTGGAAATAATCAGTCTCTCTTCAAACTCGATACCTCCAGTCGACTTGACCTCACCATCAGGGAGAGAGAGGGAGAGAGAGAGAGAGAGAGAAGAGCAGACGACAAAAAAGACCCCTGAAGCAACGTACAAGCCTCTACCAAGCAATACAGCGGCATTGGCATCGCCCACCGAGACCAATCTTCAATCTCCAATCACCAATCACCAAGCTAGCAGCTGCGTGGATTCTGCCGTGCCCAGTCCGTCTGCCAGTGTGTGATCCCTGGCGACGCTCTCCTCTGTATTTTCTGGAGACTCCAGTCGCCTGGCCTGGGCCGGACGAGGGCCATACTGGAGACGGGGGTTAGGAGCAAATCGTCCTGCGGCCGTCGTACTGGACTCCCTGATTACCAAGTATCTCTTACTAGCGTTTACAACTGGGAGATGTCCGTAATCGTACATCCACAAGATATCCCCCTCCATCGCATCACAGCACCGACATTACCGTCAACAAGAGCGTACAGAGGCAGAGTCTCGA